CACTAACATGAATTGTATTGGTACAGAGATGGAATCTCTACATGTATAGCTGAAACCATAAGACATAGATAAAATTAGAGTAAAACGGTCATTTTAACTTGTTTCTATTTATTTCACCCTAGAGAATTAAAATTGTTTAATTCTCCATCTTTCATTTTCTCTTAATTCTCCACAAATTAACATATACTAACACAAAACCTCAAATTCGCCCTCCCAATTTGTTAACTACCTTAAAATTAATGGACGTAAAAGTCTCATAGACAAAAGTCAAAGATATGATTTGACTAGTGTTACGTATTAAAAACCCAATCATAACCACCAAACAACTTACTATGGTGGTGTCATGTTAAACATGGTTAAAAAAACATTCAAAAGTTCATATTAGTATCGTTGTTATTTAATTAAAAATTTTCACATGTAAAAAAACTAAATTGATAGAAAGATCAGACGAATTTTATGTTTGACCCATAGTAAAACTTAAAAAAAAAACTATTTTAATTTTGAAAAATATTATCACATTTTTATTAAATAAAGTGTTTACTAATTTAAAAAATACAACTTAAAAAAATATTAATTTTAACTCACATTATATAATTATGAATCATTAGTCTATATTGGTACAACATAGTTAATTAAAGAAAGTTAGATTTTATTTTCATGTCTTATGTTTACATATGAATTAATTATATGTGGCTGTATCAAAGTAACAAGAAATAAATGATTAAAAATTATAAAACAAAGAATGTAACCTATAAAAAAATATTTGAATTTTTTTAAAAATAGTTCTTATAATATTTTCCATATCGAATATAAATTTAATATGAATGCATTATTTCTTATATATTTTTATTTTATAGTGTGTTATTGGTTTTATTAAAATACATGTTTCAAAAGAATAAAATTATATATAAATTATTTTTCATTATAGTTTTAATAATATTGTAAATTATTTTCTTATTTATTATAATTTATATTTTTATTATTTATTTAATATGCAATTAAGCTTTAAAAAAATATTATACTTCCGTGCGTTGCACGGTAATAAAACTAGCATAAACATAAAATAAGGACAAGCAGGATAAATTGTTAAATTAAACTTCCAGACACATCCTTGTTTTAATGAAACCTTAAAATAAACAAAACGATAAATTAGGATAGAAAAATGAATTTAAATTACTTTTAATTTCAGACTTTTCAATTATACGAGACACTTAGCATATTAGAATACAAGTCACAAGACTAAAAAATATAAATGAATTATCAATATTTCATTTAAAAATAAAATTGTTTCGTCTTTATTTTTGTCATAATAATATTTTTAAAGTCAATTTTTACATATAAAATATTGTCTATTTTAAAATTTTCATTTATAACGATTTTATCATTAAAAGATAATACATAATTAAGAAAGAAGAATATATATAAATTAATATTGATCTAAACTCTTAAATAATAGGATAGTAGTGAATATACCAAAATATAAACTAATAATTAATATTTGTAGACAATAAAACTTATTTAAAAAAATTATCATATAATTTTAGAAATTAAAGAATAATTTTAATAATTTAAAATTAATTTAACATAGTTTCTCATGTTAACCATAAAATATATATATATATATATATATATATATATATATTATACAGTTAAAGAATATTGTTTGATGAAAACTAATGAGATCAACGGATATAATAAAAAAAAATTACTACAAATAAAATTTAAATAAATTTATATTATTTAAATAAACTTGTTTACTATTTTTATGTAATTTTTCTCATCTTTTCTCATAAATTTATTTATTTGTTCTTTATTTTCTTTTTTTATTTGTCTAGGTCTATTGTTTTACTTCCTTCCCCTCCACTTATTTCCTTAATTAATTTATTATATTAAAATTTAATAAAAAAATATTAAATATAAATATTTTAAAATCAACATTTAAACTTTTAAAAAATATTATTTGATTATTTTAAATTATGATGATAATAAATATTTTTATTTATCATGACGTAAATAATTTATTTTAAATTATTTTTGTCATATTAAATCATTATTCATCTAATTAAAAATATTAAATATTTATAGGTGAAATATATTTTTTATTTAATAATTTATTCTAGTTATAATCAGGTTGAGTTATGATAATTAGTTAGATTAAATAATTTTTTTAAAATATTTATTAAAAAAATACTTTAAAATAAATATTTAATTTTTATTAATAATTATAATATAATAATAACATTTATAACTTTTCAAATTTATCATATAATATATTTTTTAATATAATATATTAAATTATAATATTTTTGATAATTTAATTTTAAAAAATAATAAAGAATTTACCTTGTCAAATTTCAATAAAAATAAGATTAAACGAGAGAAGAACAAAAAAAGAGTAAAATAACTATATTATGCAAGATGAATTTATTTATTTTTATTGAATTTTGTATATGTACAATAAATAAGTTTATTTAGATAAATAAATTTTTGTAATTTTTTAAAAATATATTATTTATGAGATTGATTTAAAAAAAATTATATATAATATTTTTAAGAAAGCTCATATATTTTTTAATAAAATTTAAAAGAGATTATTTATTTTACCATGACATAAATAATCAATTTGCTTCAAGATCAAACTCGTGTCATGCAAAAGTTGCATTCAGATGCCCTTTAAGGCACAATTGGATATAGGAATTAAGACACAAATAGAAGGCTTATTATGTCCAAACATTGCTTGTTATTAAAGCATGCATGGTCATAAAAAATGTCTACAATAAGTTATGATGTCACTTACCAGTTGATGAGAAAGTGCAACCAGATTCTCAAATTAATGTCTCATCAGTCATCACCTTTGCTTCCACATGTATCTGGCAAAGATAAGTAGACAAAAAATTACAATAATTAAGCAATTTAGTGAGCATAACAAAACCACTCCAACCTGATCTTATAATGATTATTTTATAGTTGGGCATTGGATCCATTAAAAAAGTATGAAAAAGGTGGTGACTTTGTGATGAAGGGTTTTGTGATTACTACCGCTGCTCTCACTGAGTGTTACTGTTGGATGTCTCCTTTGCTTCTGTTCTTATAAATTCATGAAAAAAGGACCCTACAAGAATGGGTCCAGGATCAATCCTTGGCTAGAGTGAAAGAAACGTTTGCACACCCTGGTGGAACTTTGAGTACAATAACTGCCATTTTGATCATACCTGGAACCAAAGGACTTTGTTAAAAAGCATGTAGATCCAAATATGGTCCATTAATGGCACGAACTCGAGTGTGTGATATGTGAAATGCTAATCCAGAATTTCAGTACAGTGATATATAGGCAGACATGAAAGTACATTTTGGTTGAAACATGATTGGTAGTTTTCATAGCAAAATCTTGCTTGGTTCATTCTGGATCCTCATAACTACTGTTATTCAAAAGTTACCTTAAATGCCAAAAATTAATATGAATAATTTCAAGAGATGCATGAAGATGTGTTACTGTATGTTATGAGTGTAGAAAAAAAAAAAATTCTCTGTTAGCTTAAACTCAACCTTATTAATTAAGTTTGAACAAGTTGATATCAATTTTGACCTTGTGTTGGTGGTGTTAATGCACTTTAGTCTGTTGGCTTCAATGCGTTTTCTCTGTATTTGTGAACACAGCGTAGTTTATTTTAAGTACATTTATTTTTTGTTCACTTTTATCATAAAACATTTAACAATGTCAAATTAGATTTTTCATTATATTAAATGAAAAATCAATAAATCTAGTATATATAATGATTTTATGATTAAATAAAAACTTAAAAATATTTTACATAATTAACTCTTCTTTTAGGCGTTTATTTTAATGGTTTTCTAAAATAATTTATGTTTAAAACTCTTTTTTGGAAATTTGAAAAATATTTAGAGCTAGAGATACAGTTATTATGCAATAAATTAAACGTTTCATTCAGAGTTTTTGAGCAGTTAAATGTAACATACTAAGCATGAAAGTCAAACATACGATTTTTATTAATTTGAAATAAGAAATTTGACACCAACCATTCATTTCCCATGGCAACATATTAATATTTTTAAGATTAAGTTCACAAGAAGATTCAACGATATTCGAGTAGACAAATTGTACATGAAAACGCAAATAAAGATACAATTAGACACACAGAGCAAATAAAAACTTGGTATCTAAGTAGAAATTATTCCTGATTCTGGTAATAATTTATGGAAAACACAAAGAAAGCATTTTGCAAGCGAAAAAGATTATTTACTTCATGACCAAGCAAGCAATTTAGAAACGAAAAGAAAATAAAGTTGGTGATAGAGATAAACCAGGGAAGCCTTGAAGGAGAAGAAGAAGAAGAAAAAAATGTTTACCCGAGAAGACTAGACAGAATTAGAAGAAAGAAGAGGAAATCACGTGAACCAGCCCGGAATCACGTGCCACTCTGGCCACCTTTTCATGTGCCCTCTCTGGCCCAAAGCCGAAAACCCTAAAACAATGGCCCACTTGCTCCCACATGCACACTGCGCGTCACATCACGCGCCAACCAAGAGCGTCACGCTCCGTTTAAAACCTCACTGTCTCGAACCGAAGCGTGTCAGACTGGCACATTCCCGCACGCATTAACGGCCGGAAGGAGCATCACAAAATAACAAAACGCCACGTGGAGGACCGAAATGAATAAAAAACCATCCAACGGTGAGCAATACGAAGAACAACTGAGCCTTACCGCGGAGAAACATTAATCGGAAGATTCAAAAATTTCAGGTCGCTTTTCAAATTTTAAATTCCCACTTAAATCCAACGGCCTCGTCAAGTCCCCCGTTAACTGCGTAGGCCCACTTAACGGCGTGACGAATCCGTCCTATAAAAGTCCCTTCGTCTTCTTCTTGTTTCATCTCAGAGACAAGGGTTGACGTCTACTTCACTTTCTGTGCTTCACTTCACACTTTCTCTCTTTCTCTCTCTTCGTTGGTGTTTTCTGGAACTCGTGTTTTCAGCGAAGATGCGTGAGATTCTTCACATCCAAGGAGGACAATGCGGGAACCAGATCGGAGCGAAATTCTGGGAGGTGGTGTGCGCGGAGCACGGGATCGATTCGACGGGGAGGTACCAGGGGAACAACGAGTTGCAACTCGAGCGAGTGAACGTGTACTACAATGAGGCGAGTTGCGGGAGATTCGTCCCTAGGGCGGTGCTCATGGATCTGGAGCCAGGGACCATGGACAGCGTCAGATCTGGACCCTACGGCCAGATTTTCCGCCCGGATAACTTCGTCTTCGGACAGTCCGGCGCTGGAAACAACTGGGCCAAGGGTCATTACACCGAGGGGGCTGAGTTGATTGATTCCGTTCTCGATGTTGTCAGGAAGGAGGCGGAAAACTGTGACTGCCTTCAAGGTATTCTTTACTCTAACTTTCTTTAGGGTTTTTTTCTTCTCTTATCCACTTTGAACCTTTGTTTAGTTGATTTGGTTCTCGTGTTTCTGTTGTTAATTTTTCGATTCGTGTTTGTTTGTTGGTGTTTGAGTGTTGTTGTATGCTTTGGAATCGAGGGTCTCCGATTGTTCAGACGAGTCTTGATCGGGAAAATCACGCGTTTGTTTTGTTCATTTTGAAATTGTACTAATGCTTACCTTAAATGACTGCGCAAATTATTGGAAGATTTTGTTAGCATTTTTTCCTCTATTTTATATTTTTTGGAGACAAAATTAGTGGAAATGGTGAGGTGTGAATGCTGTTGTCTACACTGTTTATTTAATTGTTAAGTATGGATTGTTGTGAAGCAATGCTTGAGCTATTGTAAGTGAAGAATGAAACTATTTTTTAGGCAGTTCATTTCTTTCGCTAACTGTTTGTGATTGTTTGTTCGTGGGTGATTAGGTTGCTAAATTTATTTTTGTGTGTATTTTCAGGATTTCAGGTTTGCCACTCCCTCGGTGGTGGAACTGGTTCTGGAATGGGAACACTTTTGATCTCGAAGATCAGGGAAGAGTACCCCGATCGAATGATGCTCACGTTCTCTGTGTTCCCATCTCCTAAGGTCTCTGACACTGTTGTTGAGCCATACAATGCAACTCTATCAGTGCACCAGCTCGTTGAAAATGCAGATGAGTGCATGGTGTTGGATAACGAAGCTCTCTATGATATCTGCTTCCGCACCCTTAAGCTCACCACTCCAAGCTGTGAGTTAAACTCTTATGTTCTTCAGCTTCATTTTTTCCCGTTCAGAGTTTGTGTTATGTTACATGTGGGGCTTCGCAGTTCTCTGGTTTTTGTGTTTAACACTGGGTATTTGTTATCGTTTTGTAACAGTTGGAGATCTGAATCACCTAATTTCAGCCACCATGAGTGGTGTAACATGTTGTCTTCGATTCCCTGGTCAACTCAACTCAGATCTTCGCAAACTCGCAGTGAATCTCATTCCTTTCCCTCGTTTGCACTTCTTCATGGTGGGGTTCGCTCCTCTCACTTCCCGTGGATCCCAACAGTACAGGGCTCTAACCGTACCCGAGTTGACCCAACAAATGTGGGATGCCAAGAACATGATGTGTGCGGCTGATCCTCGCCATGGTCGTTACTTGACAGCTTCTGCCATGTTCCGTGGTAAGATGAGCACCAAGGAGGTGGACGAGCAGATGATCAATGTGCAGAACAAGAACTCATCCTACTTTGTGGAGTGGATCCCCAACAACGTGAAATCCACTGTTTGTGATATCCCCCCAACTGGGCTCAAAATGGCATCAACATTCATTGGGAATTCTACTTCTATTCAGGAAATGTTTAGGAGGGTGAGTGAGCAATTCACGGCTATGTTCCGCAGAAAGGCTTTCTTGCACTGGTACACTGGAGAGGGTATGGATGAAATGGAGTTTACGGAGGCCGAGAGTAACATGAATGACCTTGTCTCAGAGTATCAGCAATACCAGGATGCAACTGCTGATGATGAGGGTTATGAATATGACGACGAAGAAGATGCTCAGGAAGAGGACGAATCTTGAACAGTAGCTGTAGTGTCTTGGAGGTTGTTCTTGTTTGTGTTTGTTGTGATTTTGTGTCAATGTTGTTGTGATTTTATCCCTTGTCCTGAATACCTTTTTCGGGGTTTTGGCTTGTTTCGGGGCTCTCCCGGCTTTGTGGCTATCGTAGTTTAGGAATTTTATATCTGCATGCTTTCTCATTATTAACATGGTGCCCTCTTTAATTTCTGGAAGTTTGAAACCTAGATGATATATATTGATGAAATATTTGCATATCCTTCTTATGGTGCTTGGGACCTTGCATCACTTGTATGGATTGAATTGTTGGCTATCTTACACTTGTCAAATGGCCTAATGCGTGGTGGAATTTTTCAATTGATCTCAATACTTGTTTAAATTTATGATGCCTAATTAGTTATCCATGTTATTTTAATATGGTTTACCAGCTCCTAAAAGATTTCGGCACTTTTTATCAAAATTATTGTATGGATTAAAATAGTATATTTTGAATATTTAACAATGTAATGCGAGTGTATTTAGCATTGAATATTTGTAATTATTAACTTTATATTGATTGAAATTATGAAAACTATAATAGGTTATGAAAATGTGGAAGATAGGACAAGGATGTAATATCCTAAAAGTAATATCTGGGCATATATTGAATGGCGACCTCAATGTTGGAAAGTTATGTTTTAAATTATCTAACTAAATTAATTTCTAGTGTATAATTAGGTTAAATTAATTTCTCAAAATTTTTTTTTTCAAAACAATATAAACTTAACCTTGATTCATTTGTGCCCTTGGTTTTGCTTTCCAAAATCGGACTTTAAAATGGAACTGGATAGATAAAGACATGAGTTTAAAGATTGAAGTATCTACTCAAATTTTAAAAAATAATATTATTATAATATAATACAAATATTAGGAACATTCTTTAAATTTTTTTTATTAATTATTATAAATTATAAGTTGTAAATATAAAATATAAAAAATAATTCAACATGAAGAATTATTAAAATAAAATAAAATAATTATTATTTAAAATTGATGTAAGTAATATACAATCAAGAATTAGAAATATATTATATTTTTTATAACAAAATTATTAAAAAAATTTGTCTCAATTTTTTTATTAAAATCGATTCAATTCAAATATTTAAACGTTTTTGAAAAATTAAATTATTAATTTAATATTTTATTTTTTATATTTTTTTCATTATATATTATTATAAATAAATTTTTTTGACTTATATTTGTAATACGAGGCAATTTTATTGTTTGAGTCATATGTGAATAATAAATAGTCAATGTTATTAGCGATGAAATACTCTTTTAAATTACAAGTAATAAGTGTTTTAAACATATAAATTTATGATAAATAATTTATATTATAATAACATTTTTGGTCGGTTATTATTGTTTCAGCGCTTTATAATATTTTCCATATTCTGAAGATAAATATTTTTTAATATATATATATATATATATTATTTTTCTGCATTTTTTTAAATATATAAATTATAATAATTATTCTTAAAATTATATATATATATATATATATATAATTACAAAATAAATCTTTGTATACAGTTATAAATTATATTATCAAATATGTATTTTTTTATTATTATATTAATTTCAAATTTACTCTTATAATATTATAAATTTTATCTTTAAAGTGACTTAATATTGATTTTTGAAAAATAATCTTAAAGTTAATTTGATATTTTATGTTGAACTGAGTGATGTAATGTTTAATTAGATCTAGAAGCTAGTGCAAATTGTGTTTGTTTAAATGATTTGAGAATTTGAAAACATGAGGAGATTGTACGGAGCTTCTTCATAGGTTGAGGAGAATAGAAAAAAAAATCATCTCTTATGATTTGACACAATTATCCTTATTTCATTTAATCTTTTCTCTAATTATAAAAAACCTATTTTTAAGAAAGTAGAATCAATTTTCCCATAATGATTTTTGTAGATATAGTGAGAATCCATTATGAATAATAAAAAAAAAAATAGAGAATCAATTGATTGATGTTAATAGTCCATTTTTATTACGTGATAATCTATTATTTATTTAAACGTAATTCTTTATATTATTATTATAATTATTTTAATAATAAAAATAAATATTATATCCATCATAATTATTTTATTATATTTTTTAAGTTTCAAATTATTTAAAATTGAGATAAAAAATAATTTAAATACACTATATTTTTTTAATCCATAAAAATATCTTTTAAAAATAATATGCTTTATAATACACTCAATTATAAAAAATCACCTTTATTTATATTTATATTTTTAAAATTTTGTACTTATTTTTTTATCCTTTCAATAATTTTTTATCTCTTTTTTTAATTTAAAAATAATCATTAATAATTTAAAATAATCTTCTATTACAATATAAATACTTTTATGAATCTAAAATATGTTTTATATATTAAAAAATTATTTGTTGTATAATTAATTATAATAAAATTTAAGTATTGAAAAAATTATTTATTACAGATTTCAATTATAATAAAACTTATGAATTCAAAAACATATATTTATTGTTAATTAGGTGTATTTATATATTTCAAATATTTATTTATTAAACCCTAACTCTTAAAGATTGTGTGCGTGGTCGTATCTGGTTCTTTTGTGCAATCACCGCCTCGCATAACAGCAGCAGCTGCTGCAACAATGGTGAAGCACTACAGACCGCCGGTGAGTACTGCATACGCCTTTCACCTTCTCTATTTGTTTACGCCATCATCAAACTCCATTTTTTTATCGTAACTTTCTTTGTTTGCTTCGGGTTTTGTGTTTTCATTCACGGCTTGTGTGTATGTGTTTTCTTTTTCTTTTTCCTTGATGCACGTGCTGTGATTTTTGGTTGGGTCTGAGAAAATTTGAAATTCTTAATATTTCAGTTGTAGCTATTCATTCTCAGCAACCAAATAGAATAAAAAAATTAATAATTTTTTTTTTTCTGACTGAAATGCCTTTACTTCAAGTTATAAGGAATTGTATTTCGACTAATGGAGTGGGGATAGATAGTTATAATAGCAATTCCCTGAAAAATATAATATATTTACCTCTGTTCATGTGAATAAGAAGCAAGGGAAGCATGGACATTTTATATTCCCAGGAACCATTTATTCCCGAGAATATTTATTCAAAACTTGTACCAAACACAAGAATGTGACATTCCCAAGTTTGTTTCCTCCAGAATCCTTTCAGATACCTTGAAATTAGCGTACTTGTTGTAAGTATTTTAAGAGTTTATTGTTGTTGTTTTGTGTTGCAGGGGAAGAAAAAGGAGGGGAATGCTGCTAAGTTTGTCACTAGGTCGCAGGGACTCAAGCAGCTTCAAATCAGTCTACCACTTTTCAGGTACTATACAGAAAGAAAATAGGCTCATATGTAAATTAAATTAAGGTGCACTTGTTTGATCAACTTTGTCTGATCTGATAGCGTTTGGAATTTGCATCTATAGTGACTATGAAACATTATGGAAAAGTAGATTTGATAAGGGCTTTGATTCTAATACTGACTTTTGTAAATTTTAGGAAATTATGTATTTTGAAGGGAGTAACTCCCCGGGAGCCTAAGAAAAAGTTCAAGGGAACACATCAGACTTATTACCATGTGAAGGATATTGCCTTCCTTCATCACGAGCCTTTGGTTGAAGTACATAGAGCTATAAGAGTGCATGAGAGAAAAATAAAGAAAGCTGAGGCAAAGAAAAACAATGAACGTGCAAACAGGCTGCGGGAGAAAACACCCAAACCCAAGATAGATAGGATTATAAGACAGAGGTTTGTTTTTTTGTTAATTTCAATTTGTGTTTTGGAACTGGTGATGAATTTCCATTTAAATTGATTTTTTTTTTTTTAATATAGGTACCCAAGATTTGTCGATGCACTTGGAGAATTGGATGACTGCCTTACAATGGTGCACCTTTTTGCAGCATTGCCTGCATCAGAGAGTAAAAAAATTGAAGTGGAGTGTGTTCATAAATGTCGAAGGTACATACTTGGAATATTGAAAAACTTGGGTTTAGTATATAATGAAGAAATTAGCCTTTCTGACTTTATTTTTCCTTTGAAAATAAGGTGTTAATATACGAGGAACAAACTTTGCTAAATCTCATTGTTTTTTTCTTGCGTTTTCCTCTCATATAATTTTATCTTCTGTATTTATTCTCATTGCTTACTGGTTCACCAGATTGGCACATGAGTGGCAAGCGTTCATATCTCGGACTCACAAGTTAAGAAAAACATTTGTGTCTGTGAAAGGCATATACTACCAGGTACTAATTTTGGCATTAATCAATGTTCAGTAATCTTAATTGTATAGGTTATGAATTGATTTTGTTCTTTGCGCAGGCTGAGGTTGAGGGTCAGACAATAACATGGTTAAGTCCTCATTCACTACAACAGGTTGTATCTGATGATGTTGACATCATTACCATGCTAAACTTTCTACAATTATATGAGGTTAGTTTCATATTCTTGTTTATTTATGTCATCTTTGTGCTAGGTTGTTAGCATTATTGTCATCCCATTAACATGATTACGGGTCTCTATATTTTAATCATGTAATAATTAATTTAAATAAGTTCTGGTGTATTGTCAGGATCATTTGCAAACCAAACCAAATATAGCTATGTGTACATGCTTCTTCTAATCCTTTATATCATCCTTTTAATTGGTATGCTGACTTTTATTATTTTCTTAATCTTACAGCCTCTTCTTAGTTTTGTCAATTTTCGCCTCTATCATTCTATCAATTTGAAGTACCCCCCAATTCTTGATCCACGTTTGGAAGCTTTGGCTGCAGGTACCAATATTCTCAACTTAAAAGGAAAACTTAGTTATTTAATGTATGTGGTGATTAAATTTCTTTTCAAATCATGCAGATCTATATGCTCTGTCAAGGTATGTCAGTGCCAATACCAGACCCTCTATAGTGAATTCTGAAGCTTCTCAAGCTGAATCAGAACAATTGGGGACCAAGCAAGAGATGGCAGAGACTGGAAATGAAACATCTGAACTAAGACTTGCTCAACTTCAGAACCAACTTCCTTCTAATGAACCTGGTGCACTAATGCACCTTGTTGATGAAGTTACTGGTGAAGATGAAGAGGATCAAGATACAAAAGAATGTAAAAATCTCTTTAAAAATATGAAATTCTTCCTAAGCAGAGAGGTAGGACCTTTTAATTGTTTTAGCATCACTATTTAGATGTACTTTTTGTCAATAGCTGGGAATTTGTGGACATAGGTCTGCCGAGTCACATTTCATGTTTTTCATTTCAAAAAATAAATTAACGAAAAGAAATTTGTCTTAGGTTTTCAATGGCTACTGCTTTTGAATTTTTGGTAGATGCTGGTCGATGAGAATAGGTAAATATTGTCTTGTCCTAAATAGGACAAACCACCTAAACTTTCAAGATTGAAATGTTGTTCACAAGGTCCTTGGTTTGGTTCTTTCTAGTGGACTTTAAGTGGAGGAAAGTTTTATGTTGATACCCCTTGTAAAAGCTTGGTATCTTAAACTTACCAAGGTAAATATTCGTTTAAAGAAAATCACTATTTTTCATCAGGAAACAAAGGAGCTATTTTATAAATTCTTTGGCATTTGTTATTATTTATAATGTGAATCTGTGTGCTGTTTTGCTTCATGAACAATTTATATAATGTTTTTGCTTCTTAATATTGTTTTTATCGATCTTGAATGATCCATGCATATGCATATGGTACAGTAAATCTTATTGGACTTTGGTTCAATATATCTTCGTTTTTAACTTCAGGTTAAAGATTTTGGAAATTTCCTCATGTTTATGTAGTTTTGACATTACTTGCATTTGTTGTGGTCTAATAATTCAGGTACCAAGGGAATCATTGCTTTTTGTTATTCCTGCTTTTGGGGGCATAGTTTCCTGGGAGGGAGAAGGGGCACCTTTTGGGGAATCCGACCAGAGCATCACTCATCAGGTTTGTGATTAAGCTTCCCTCCCATCTTGGTGTCCTTATATTTTACATTTCATACCTTCCTTTTTTTAAGGTTCTCTAAGCTATTACTTTTACATGTTTAGATTGTTGACAGGGAAGCACAAGGACATAGGTTCCTCTCTAGAGATTACGTTCAACCACAGTGGGTATATGACTGTGTGAATGCTCGGATTATTTTGCCAACTGATAATTATTTAGTGGGAAGGTAACTTCTATTCCAGTTGTGTTTATTATAAAACTATTACTTGGTGCTGATTGTAGTAATTTTCAATTACAATTTCTCTCTTTCAATGTATACAACTTTAATATTATTACCCGTATGAAAACTAGTTTCTGTGCCTTTATGCTTCAGTAATCGATGTTGCATATCAAGGCATCTTTTTGTTTGTTGGTCCATTGTGGAACTCTTATTGGTTGTAGTAGTGATCTTGGTAGGAATGTGCCATTTAATTCCGTAAATGAGGTTTCTCTACGAGGGATTGTGATATGATCTTTCTGCGGATCCATGTGCCTATCTAAATATGCTTTCATCTATTCATTTTGTCTTGTCTAATTGATACTAGTTAAAATATTTATTTTCCAAAGTTGAAAAAGATAGAAACCACATACGTATTTCTAATGTGCAGGCACACTCCCCAGGTTGTGCCACAAACCTTGTGGATCATGCAAATTGTAGTGTTTTTTTCACTTTAAATAGATAAATCCCAACTCAATTAAGAGTGAATAGTTGCTTTGAAGGTTCAAGTTTTCTTTTCTGCTAGAAGAAATTATGGTTAGGATTGGAATATAGCCTCTATTAATAGGAGCATAATAAACAATGAATTTACTAGCTTGTAAGAGTGTCTATCTATATGCTAGTATTATGTTGATTATTTGAATTATATTTTGTAAAGTAGATAAATTAAAAACTGTCAAACATCTCATGTTTAGAGACTAGAATTGTTCCTTGATGCATATTTCTAAGGATGATATCTCTGACTGATGTTCTGGTTGGTTGTGGGGTCTGCAAATCAGATTTGGGATCATTTTTGGCAGAATCCTCCTGATGATTGCCTTTAGACGGAACTTGGCTTAGCTATGTAGTTTTTTTTTTTTTTCTTATGTACCAAATAAATGATAAATTACTATTAAGTTAGAAAAGTTACCTATGTTAATTCTTGTTTGATGTGAGATCGGAAGTTGGATAAAGTATTTTTTGTATACAATGAAAGAGTGAGTTGTATTAAAACCATACTGGTCATTTTGTATAGTTTAGTAGAATTAATTCTCATTTAACGAATGAGCGTTAGTTAATGAATAATGAAGTCACAAGGCTATATCTGCTGGGTTTATGTAAAATACAAAATTAGTTCCACACATTAACACAAAGGAACAGTTAAAAAAAATTGACAAATTCTAAACACAAATGTGTGTTAAATTTGAACAAAAGTATATGTATACTAAAGAATGCCTCTTTGATTTTTGTTACTTTCACGCCTAAAATGTTTCTTTCGTTAACAGGATTCCTCCGCCACACTTGTCGCCTTTTATTAATTATGACGAAGAAGGAGCATATATTCCAGATTATGCAAAGACCATTAAACACTTGCAAGCTGCTGCCAGAAAGGAAGTCCTTCCACTTCCAGGTGTTGGGAAGGAAGATATGGAAGATCCTCAAAATCTTCTGGTTGAAGGTATTATTGACCGAGCAGAGGCTAATGATGCAGCTCAAAGAAAGCAAAAGGTAGGCATGTTCTGAGAAAAAAGGTTGCGTTGCATCCTAACAGTGGCATGAGTGGAGGGGGAATCCTTTTTTGTTTAGTCTAACACAAGTATTTCAAATTTGAATGAATGCATTGCAGATGATGATTCTGGAGCAGCAATACCACGATGATCTGAAAAAAGAACTTAAAGGCGTTACATACACTTCAGCAGGCTCTAAAGAAACTTCTGGAGCGGTGGAGACTGGAGAATCAGCTACCAATGTAGAAGAAACTGCTGATGATGATATGGGTAAACTTATGATGTCACGTAAAAAGAGGAAGCTCTTGGAAGCCATGCAGGTACATTTGTATCTATATTTTTGTTGTCTTTCCCAATTACAATATTACTATTTTCTCCTAAGAAACGGCCTCATTGCAAAGTGTCAGATTGTGTTTAAACTTATTCTGTAAAACATGGGAGGTGTGTCTTTTCAATTCTGTTTTTTAACCCCTCTTTTTTGTTTCTGAAAAATGTCATTCAGATATCTAATAAACGCAAGCAAGCTCAGTCTGATCTCATTAAACAACGGAAGAAGAAAATAGATGAAGCTCATCAGAATCAAAGGAGTTAAAGAGATGCAGCATTGACTTCTTTGTGTTATAGCTGCTGCTGATTTAAAAGGGTAGCTCATTTTTGTTTGCAGTTGAACTCATTCTAGTCTCCTATGATTTTATTACTGATATAAATGTTTTAGGGAAAAATTGGACAAAACGTGAAAAAAAAATTGGAAAGAGGGAGTATGTTTTATGGAAAAAATGTATTTTTCGTGGATATGTTAAACTAAATTTGATCTTGGTCTTGCAGTTTCAAATTAACAAATATAGTCGTTAAATTTTGAAAAAAAAATGTGAATTTAGTTACTGTCCAGTCATTTAGTTACTTGTAGTACAAAATACATTTTCTGATAGTCCTTTTTTCATGTTTCGATAAGCTTATATATAAGTACTTTTTGAAAAAAATTAAAATGACAGGTTAAGTTATAGACGTTTATATTAGTTAATATAAAACTAATTTTTAATTTATTCTGGTAAGTTATAAAAAAAAACATGGAAGAAATGAGTTACAAGTTCCACCTGGACCCTACCCTTCAGTTTCGTTGTAGTAGCCAATCCTCACCTCTCTGTGATCGATGCAGTGTCCCAACCAAACATCACTTCTCTTAATGTCGTGCTTTTTATTTTTTGGGACACAACGTCACCAATCAACCACATTACGATGGTGCTTTGAAATTAGGTTTTGAACTAAATTTGTGTTCTCACTACTCATTGAGAGGAGTTAGTTTCCACAGTTGAGTTGAGACTACTCAAAATATTTAAGTTGGTTATAACTAAAATAACAAATAGGGAGTGGCTATTTTCACGGCTTACATTAGTCTTTCGTGGCGCATGAAACTAAATCGTAAACTTAAATAAAAAATACATTTAATATTTGTCTTCAATTACAAACGATTTTTATTGGGGTGTCTGAGACAAACATATTCTCTTACTTGCAGAAACAAGTAGTTATCACGGGTACACATGCTTTTGTTTGCAATTATGTTAATATTCTTATTCTTATTGGAGTTCTGAAAATTATTGATGTACACAGCCACAATATAATAAATAATGACTGTTTTTTATATAAATTTCATTCTACTTTTTGTATGAGTAAATGGAAAGTATTCAAAATATTTTGTTTAAATATATTTTATGAATATAGGTTTTACTGATTCAATGTAACTTTTTTCTCTTATTAAAATAGTCGGAATAAACATTCTCATGTGGAGTACATTTAACAACAATTCAGAGGCCACTATTGGCACCAAAATATGTTTATAACTGGAGTCTGCTTTATTCCCTCGTACCAATTACAATAGGACAAAGTTTGATCCACTGTTGTTGTTGTTGTTTGTTTATAATAAAATTAAAGGAAGTCACGTGTAATGGCGTAACTTTTATTTGTTCCAGTGTCCCAAAAGTTGCATAGCCAATCCTACAATACTAGACTGGATCTCATAAATTGTTCTTTCATGTAACAAAATTCATCAATAACGTAAAATATGTTTCAAACATTCTAACAATCCTTTTTATAATGTAAGTAGTAAAATAATTAAATAAAAACTCGTCTTTTGTTTTGGTTTTCAGTTTATTTTTAATAGTTAAAAAATGATCTCTTAATTATAGCGGTTAAAAAGAGAGTCAATACTTAAGCAGATTTAAATGAACAGTCAGAAGTTAAATAAAATATTTTTAGTGTTCTCACAAATTCCTAATCGCTCAGAATTAATAAATTTCTCAATTAAGAAAAACCCATTGGAAAAAACTTGTCGATTCATAAAAATAGCATCACAAGATTCATTAGAGTTTATCAGCAAAGGATTGTATGACGAATTTTGGTGTGCACAAACCAACAAATTTATTAGTTGAATGAAATTTTCTCTATTTAACAAGTGAGACTTTCGTCATTAACTTTAAACAATCATGCTCGAAATTTGATTGCGTCATTAATTTGACTTAAAATACTGCTAATCATATGATATATAGTTTGTTAAAAATATATAAACAAAAATAAATCTGTAAAAGAAAGCTCGATAGATTTTCGTAAATTTTCAAAACGAATAAAATTAGGTTTAAAATTTTTAAATTCAGGTGTACTTTATCTTTCATGAAGAGACAAGTAGAGCTGATTATATCAATGTTTTAAAAAACAGATTGATTATTTCGATCGTGGTACAAGACGGTGATTCACTGGTTGAATTTGTATACGGATTTTGACTATCTAGTCCAATAATGTATTATCATAATTAATAAATAAATATAAAAAATAAAATAATATAAAAAATACAAAAATAAATTTATAAATATATTCAGTAATTATTAAATTTAAAGAGGTTAAAATAATAAATACTATTGTAAGTTATAAAATTTTAAAAATAATTATTAAGTTTATAAGAGACCAAAATGATTAATAATATAAGTTACCTTGAGAGACAATGATCTCATCATCTCCAAAAAACAATGGTTGACCCTCTATGCCTTTTAGTTAAATAGACTACTTTGAGGACTTTAATAATACCATCCATTACAAACAGAAGAAATGTCAATCCAAATTTTACATATATAAGTCTGTTTCAATTTGAAAAGTTTGAACTTGACCGGTGCTCAACCCTAATTCTTTATCTCACAGTCTTTTCTATACTATTCCTATTGATATCCATATGAGACTAGGGATGAGAAATGGATGGATAATTATACAATGTCTTAAATTAAATTTTTATTTCGAAGGAACGTCGAACTTGCCCATAAGCTAATACAATGTTAATATTTATGGTTAATGTATTTAAAACTTCGTTGGCAAGATATTTATTTGGATTCCTCATACTATTCAGCAGCTCAAGTTTGAGAAACGAAGTGTTCTGCAGCAAGACGCCTTAGAATCTTGCCAGTGGCGGTCTTGGGCAAAGAATCAGTGATGAAGACCTTTTTAGGGACTTTGAAGCTTGCAAGGTTCTTCTTGCTAAATCTCTGCACCTCTTCCTCATCAATGTTTGATCCTTCTTTTGGGATGATCGCACAATTTATCTGTTAAGATGTTACGTACAACGAATAATTTCAACACATATATTAAAAAAATTTAGCAATAATGTAGTAAACACACAAAATTCTGCGCTATCTAAATTGACATAGGTTGCAAATAATTTTTGCGTATACTCCCTTAATTATTACTTTACAAATTTTTCTTATTTTAATCTTAAAAAAAATTAAACCAGGAAAATATATAACCATACATACAAATATGATGTCGTTACTTTAACAAGGAACAGGAGTTACAGGGTATGCTCTGACTGCGGCTGAAAAAATATTTCATAAACACGTGTATATATGATATTGGTAGTTCCAATGCGACGGGCACACGTGTGATCATGCTTACGTAATGTTGGGCCTTTTCAGCCAATAAAAGCCACTTTTCCACTTTGAAAAAATTATGAAATCTCAAAATTATTAGAGGTTGTTGATAAAATATCTTAATATTGAAAAAATATATGTATCCATGTAGAGTGTAGCACAGGAGAGAAGTGAAACGATGCTCACATAAGACAAAAAAATGATGCCATGGCTTCTTGTACGCAAGAGGTTGTGGTGGACAAACCGACAATGTTTTCTGGGGTGGTCGGGGTTCACAAATGGTGAAGATCAGTACCATATAAGTGCATGCGAATCATGAATGTGCGTCCTCTTCTATGGGCTTAGTTTAGGGTGACACGAGAAGAAAATAAAACGAATAAAAATTCTATAAATTAAAATCAATCCTCGGAGCTTAACACTTTTACAACGTCTCTCTCTTCTTCATAAGTTTAGTTAATTCATATGAAAAAAAAATCATTCTTTTGTCTCTTACAACTATTTATTTAAAAGGTTATTTAAATCTGTCTTAGTAAAAGTAACATTTTGGAACTAAATTTTGTTTTCTTTGTTAAATACAACTAGATTTATGCGCTCATGAGTTTGTGGTTGTGGCAACTTTGTGTTGTAAGGTGTTTTGAGATCAAGATGCTAGCTTTTTTCGAAGACCCAGCTAGGTTTATGCTTGTGAATTTATGATGATTCTCTATTGGAAAGGTTTATTGGGACCGAAGTGTGACAAAAATAGAGGGGAGAGGCCGAAAAACTAAAGGAATAAAGGGGAACATTCCTCTATTTTTTTTTTTCTTTCTAGACTTAACAGCTAAGGGTATCAAATTTGATTCGGCTTTGTAAGAGTTTTTTTTTTTTTCTTTCTTTCTAAACAGACATACCTCTTCGCCATACTTATCATCTGGAACTCCGAATGCAACTGCTTGGGCGATGTCTGGATGAGATAGAAGGACAGCATCCACCTCTATTGGTGATATTTTCTCCCCTTCAAAAAAACATCAACTTCAATAATTTTTTATTATAGTTCACCGTCCAATACGCACTCCAACCAAAAAAACTCTAATTTCAATAATATTTAAAAACATGACATATTACAATACAAACATAAAATAAAAGCATATATAACTGATTCTCCAGTTTTATTAACTGACATAATAGAAAATTACATACGAAACCGATGGAGTAATGCCACAGGCCACTTTGTTAGGAAAAGTGTAAAACACTTTACGTTTATGACTCATACATACATAATAATTGTTATTTGCCAACAACCTTCTAAACCTGCATGTTACGTTTCAATACACAGATTACACACCAAATATCATAACGATCTTTTCTTACAACCATATATATTTCTTGATCACGCGATCATATAAATTATAATTTTTGGGTCAACAGTTTAAGCCCTCTAATTGCAAGTACATAATCCAGTTTAACATGCATAAATATATCGCATGCAAAGTGAGCAGTTCATAAAACTATAAATACATACCTCCACGGTTAATAAGCTCCTTGATGCGACCCACGAGGTGCAAATATCCATCCGAATCAAAAAACCCGATATCACCTGTGTGGAACCACCCGTATTGAAACGCAGAAATATTCGCATCAGGGTTATTTTTATACCCTTTGGTCACGTTGTGTCCTCTAATACAAACCTCACCTTTAACTTCATTCTTTAGAATCTCACCCTTCTCATCTAAAATCGCCATTTCCTGGCCCACGGGCTTTCCAACTGACCCGGCTCGATGAGGCCCATCTTCGGGTAATGGGTTCGTAGACATCAAATGCGACGCTTCCGTCATAGCATAGGCCTCCAAAACCGGTGCCCCAAACGCCTCCTCCAACCGCTCCAATATAACCGGTGCAAGCGAGGCACTACAGCTCCGAATAAACCGGAGCTTCGGGTAAACCGGTTCCGGGTTTTTCAAGTGACGTTCCAACACGATTTGGTGCACCGTGGGAACCGCGGTGTACCACGTGGCGTTGTAGGTCAACATGTCGCTCCAAAACGAGGAGGCGGAGAACCTCCCCGCCGCTGGGAGCGCCACGGCGGCTCCTGCGGCGAGCGAACTCAGCAACGCGGCGAGCAACCCGTGGACGTGGAACAAGGGGAGAACGATGACGGTCGAGTCAGACTCAGTGAGTTTGTACACGGACTTGATGTTCTCCACCGATGAGGCCAAGTTTTGCTGCGTCAACGGCACGCCCTTGGGGCGGCTCGTGGTGCCGGAAGTGTGAAGAAACAGGGCCACATCGGACGCGTCGTTGGTGAGCTCGGAAACCGAGTCGATCGGTGAGTCGGTGTAACTCAGAGAGAGACTGAGCTCTTCGGCTTCAGCTTCCTCGAGGGAAGCCGTTGATACCGGAATGCCAAGCTTGGAAGCCGCGGCCTGGGCAGGTTCGTTCCCTTCTTTCGAGGTTATTAACAGTTTTGACTCTGAGTCAGATAAATAAAACTCGAACTCTTCCGCGGTGTAAGCCGCGTTCAACGGCGCCGCCGTGGCTCGCGCTCGAATGATGGCCAGAAACGTGATGATAAACTGGAAATATAAAAAAATGAATTAGAAACAATAATAATAAATAACAATTAAATTAAAAATACAAATATATGTATTTTTGTTTTTGTGTTGGCAATGAAACAGTGAGGGAGGAGAGAACCTCGACGGTATTGGGGAAGGTGAGTGCGACGACATCGCCGGGTTTGATGCCGGCAGAGAGAAGGCGTGCGGCGGCGCGTTCGACGAGGTGGTGGAGGCGGGAGTGAGTGAGGTTGAATTTGCCTGAGACGGAGACTGCGCGGTGGGAAGGGAACGTTCCGGCGACCCGGTGGAGCAATCCGGTGAGTGTTGTTGGGGGTTGCATTGTGACGTGGTTATGATATGTTTGATAGGCATTGGAAACGTGAGTGTGAGATATATAACGGATGCGATGCGATGCTAGAGGAGGTGCCTGTTTCGTGAACGTTATTGTTAACCTAAAAATGTTTAATTAAACTAATTATTAAAGCCATTGAAATAATTATAATTATTTATTGAATAAAAGTATAATTCCTATATAATCATTAAAAAAGAGAGTAAATACGAATATTAGGATATTGCTTAAAAAAACGAATAATAGGACATGACTTTTATAGATTTTGGGTTCTAATATGACTGGTTAGGCAGGCTAAGAATGAATCTAACGCCATTGTTGGGAATTAATATAAAAGGAAAGATAAGATTGGTGGAAATGAAAATATGTGGGAAGAAGAAGCAAGGAAAAAGAGAGAAAGTAGCTATATTTTTACCATTTAGTTGAAAGAAAAAAAAATGATTATTTTAAATATTTAAATAGAGTCCAGATGTATGAAATTCCTTTTAAACAAAACCAAAATTACGAACAAATTCAATCTTTTACTCTCTTCGGTACATAAAAACATAAATAGTTAGTTCCTTGAAAGAAAATGGATGAATAAAAATATTAAAAGAAAAATAAAATTTATATATCAATATTTTGTTGAAGATGAGTAAAAATACAACATGTGAGACGTTACTGTTTGTCTACACAAACAAAATGTATACGTTTACTTTTAATCAACGTTTAATTTTTTTAATAAACAGTTATATACTTTTTAATCAGCAGCTATACTTAAAAACAAAAAGAAGACAAATCATATTGATTAAAAGGGTATAAAAGAAGAAATAAAAGTAAAAACACATGCGGATAGTTTTTTTTTTTTCAACACTTTTAAATAAACTAAGAATTAGGGATGGTAAAATGGTCATGCCGCGCCTGCCGGCCCGCTAGTCCACCATAATATGTCAGGGCGAGTTGGTGTTTTCGATCCACTGACCCGTTTTGGCCCGTCCGCTAAGCCCGTCAACCCGTCGGGCCAACCTACGGGATAGAAGTGGGTCAACCCATGGTCCGCCTAATTAATAAAAAAATAATTTTTTATTATAATAAAATTAATTATAAAGATAATATATAAAGTTAAAATTTTTAAAAAGAGAATTAAAAAAGTTTCACTTTTACAAGCAAATATTCTCTTTACTTGAAACACAACATTTTGTCTCCTGATCTCCTTGCTCATGTTAAGGATTGATTATTTTTATCCTTATGACTTGAATTAAAGGTGTAAGAATTACTCAACCAAGAATAATGTGAAGTTTTATCAAATAAAAAAGATATAAGTATTTGAATTTTTCAATATAAAAAATATAAATTTTATAAGTTTTAACGTTATTTATATATATATATATATATATATATTTTGTTATTATTTATTATTATGTAAATTTTATTATTGTTATAAATTATAATTTCTTAAAACAATATATTGATTTATATTATTAAATTGAAATAATATATATATATATATATATATATATATTAAATTATTATCAAACAAATAATAATCTTATTATTAAATTTATTAAAAAAAATTATTTTAAAAAATAAATTATTTTTTTCTAAATTATGGCGGGTCAGTCCGTCAACCCGTCCCTTGACAGACGGGTCAAGATCTACGATCTGTCATGATTACTGACGAGTCGACCCACCTAGTCCCACAATACCTCGTCCCGTTTTTTGTGGGCCAAAGACGAGACGGATCAAAACGGAGCGGGTTGACCCATTTTATCATTCCTACCTAATTCTTAGTTTATTTAAAAGTTGAAACAGAATATTAAAAAAAGTTGAAACAGAGTATTTAAAAGAAAAACTAATCTTTAATACTTAGTGGTATCTTACCGGTCGTATTAAAGCCGTGCCCAACCATGACAAATCATGTTCGAACTGTTTTTTAGGAAAAAGAAAATATAAAATAATTGAATAGTTTTTGTAATCAACAATCATTATTAACCCTAATAACTCAATCCGCCTAATCAAATTTTTTTCCTAAATCAACAGATTAGATCGATGAAATCGCGAGGATGAATAATTGGATTATTAATATATCAATCATTTTGAATGCTCACTCTTTTCACTGATGGGCCTCACACAAATGAAATGCCTTATTGGGCTTTGTTTCTTTCTGTTTTCTTCCTGCAGATTCGGGTGAGAAGACAATCTTGTCTGCATCAATGTTTCGTTGTCTCGTCACCATTTACAAGAAAACTTATGGTGAGTTTCGTGTCTGAGCGTTAGTGGGTAAAAGAGATGCATAATTGGTCATAGTTTTATATGTATAATTTATAGAATAGTGAAAGTTACACCTTATTAATGTAGAGATTCATCACTTCCAGCCACATAGTGTTACCGCTAATCATATAGCGAGCGATCTTACATTCGAAAAGTACTACATATTTAGGTGCAACTTCCTTATTACAATCAAAACATAGTTTGCCATTCTCAATTCATACACTGGTATAGCATGGTAAGTTGTTTAATTGCTACTCTCCATATCTGTGTGTGTTCCAAGAAACTAAAGCTTTTTTAGTTTGATGATGGGGCAACCGCGGGTTCAATAGTGAGCTCCACAGGGTTAATTGGAGGAGTAGCTGTGAACTGCAGAGAGTGCACAGGTCCTGGTGCCACGATGCCAGAGCTTCTGAGTTCAGCCATTCCTCGACGAGCATTCATCCCTTGTACTTCACACAACTTGGGAAGAAACACACCTACAACAACAATTTGCCCAAATTCACAAATTAGTTTTGGCTATAATTTCCACAACATTAAAACATCATGCATGTTTATGTGTGTACCTTCACCAGCTGCAAGATTGAAGTATAAGTCAACAACATTGGGGCAGCACTGGTAGCAGTGAGGGGAACAGAGTTTGTGAGTGAAGGTAGACTCGAGAAGAGAATCTGAAGAGATTCCAAGGGACTTTCTGTCCAATCCACAAGCCTTTATGCATTGGTCTGTTTCAATGTGATCCTTCAGTTTCTCAGCTTCAATATCTGATGTCTTGCATGTGTATGCCTCCTCACCACTCCTCTTCACGCGCTTCTCAAGCACACATCGTTTCCCACTCGATGACACAGCGAATGAGCACGTGTCATGGCTCAGATTCTCACATTCTATCGCTCCTGCATTTTTCCATGACAATACTGTAAATGTTGATAAAAATGATCATGTGGAAAGAAATATGAGAATTAAGGTATTCACTTACCCAGAGTGGCTTGAAGGGTGAGAGAAAATGCAAGGGCGAATATCATAAAAGTTCTGAAGCTGAAGTTAGAGGCCATTCTAGGTTAAGTTAAGGCAGAAGAAGATGCAAGCGTATACGATAGTGGCCCAAACTAGCTGGGAAATTGATAATATCTAAGTGGTTGGTTGGAGAAATGTGATTATGAAGGTTGATGGGTATAATGCATTTTATAGTGGGATTTTGTAGCGGAATTATCGGATTTTTTTATTAGGAATTGTGGAATTTGACGGAAAGAAAGGAAGATGTGGAGTTGTCGATGTGAATTGCAAGTTAGGGGATGATCTAAGGAAGACTAGTTTAACTTTTTTTTTCAACTTTCCACACCACTAATGCACCTGCACCTGTCTTAGAATTCATTCTGGAGGAATTGTGTTTGAAGAAGAGTCAAGTAACAGCGCCATTAGTGGCGGAGCTTTCACAATTTATGTCTTCCACCATCCATCTGTCACATCACCGATAAGTTCGAACTTTGTTCTTCCTCCTTCCTGTTCCAAATTACAATAAGTTATTCGTAAACTATCATTTATTAAACACATATTTTTATTACTTGTATTAGTTAATATTATTTTAAACGATAAATAAAATGAAAGTTTATTATATCAACAAATTGTATCCATCCAAATTTTTAATGATGAATATTATTCGAATTTAAATGTAGCATCTTAACAGAGTTTTAGATTTGGAAAACACAGGACTCATCAAGTTATATTCAAACAAGTAAGACTTGGTATGAATTTGACTAATCTTAATAAAGTTATCTGATAAATATTTTACTATTTTTTAAAATGTCTTACAATTATATCAAATAGTATAAAATAATTGATTTAGTACCCATTACATGAATATGCAAATTTTACAACATCAAATTTGATATTATATTTAATTATCATTAAGAAAACAACAAATATAAACATTCTTCGAAAAAAAAATTATTAGTCTTTAATCAAACTTTATAATTTAATTATATATTAATTTTAAATAGTAGCTTGAATATTTTTGAATTCTGAAATTAAAACAAATATTGTTAGAAATATCAAAATTATATATATTATTAAGAACACTGAAAGAACAATTGTTCTAATCATCTAATAAAAACATTTGGATACTATTTGTTAAACTTTCCAAAAATTAATGACACGATTAGGTAGCTTTCAATTTAAACTTTAAGCACAAAATTATTTATAAAAAGTAATATTTAGAGTCATTTTGAATTTGTAACAAATAAGAATAAGAATAAAATTAGGAAAGAGATCGAATGTTATGTCAGATTATATTTTTAATATTAGAAAAAAAAATCATGGTTTAATGGTTGTCTTACCATTCGTATATATAAAATAAAACACTTTAAATTGTTTATATATTAATTCATAAGAATAGAAAATATTACAATGTATTCTCTTTTCTATCTTGTAGTTTTTTTTTTGGCTTTCTAATATCATAATCTCCAGACAAAATTTAATTTTTCTTTAACTACGCTGAAATATTATAATTTCCTAGATTAACATATGATAAGACTATATTTTAATATTGATATAGTTGAATTTAAATTTATTTCATATTTAAGATTGGCTAAAAATTCATCAACACTGATATATTCTATATTACAATAAGTATTATAAAATACATAAATTTCTAACTTAATATACACTAAATCTATGTTAATATTAATATAATGTAATTAAAATTTATTTTCTACTTAATATTAACATTCTAATCTCAATACTCTAATACCGGAAATAGATCCAACTGTCTCACGACATTTTGAAACATAAACATAATACAATCCTAAGTGGTAAAGAGTCGATATGTCCACAATCATATTTAAATATATCTTTAATTTTTGAAATTTTATTTAATTTGATCACAAGTTTTTAAAATTTATTATTTATGATAGACGATAGTTTATGAAGTTATAAAAGATTTTGAAAGTTGAAATTGAACTTGGCAGCGTTGTTTGCGGAAGAAATTGCAGGAATTGCTTGAGAGTTGACCCAAAAAATAAATGGTGCGCATCATGCATCCCAGAATTAGGGAGATGATATTGGCTCCTTTATCATACTGCTCAAACCTTTTGAAACTTCAGGCTGGGTTGGTTGGTGGGTGGGAGGGTATCTAACTTCTTTTTTCCATGTTCTCTTAATTAATTAACTCTCAACACGTGTTCACTTCTCTCTCTCTTTTTTTTTTTTCTTTTTTTTTAATATTTCGTATATCTTTCATAACCAACAAATAACGTTGAATTTAATCATTGTTAGTGATATCTATTTTTTTCTCTTCTAACTTTCTATTAAGAAATGCTCTTTTCAACTTCCTTTGTTTCAATTAAATACAAGAGATTATATAGATTAACAATTCTTTATTCCTTCTCTTCTTCCTTTTTCTTAGTCTTACATATTTATTTACATTAAACAAATTTTATTTTATTGGATAACTTAAATCTTAAACTCCACACAAAATTCATCTCATTTATCATTTTCCGTAGTATAATTTGGATTTTTTTAACCTCATGATTCTCGATAAAATATTTCAAGATCAATTTTAGCGCTACTTTGACTTTTGTAAGCACATAATATAACCGCATCTAATTATATAATATATATATATATATATATATATATATATATATATATATATGGTAAGAATTAAAATTTTATTTTATTTTGTATTTTTATAATTACTTTTTATCTATTTTAAATATTAAAATTATTAAAAAACAATATTAAAGATGAAAAATAAATCTCTAGTTTTTATAATGGATTTTTTATTCATATAACATTAAATATTGCTTATTGTCATAATTAATTGTATAAAGTTCTTGCTGACTTAATGTAATCCTTATTAATTTATTTTAGTGTGAGTTATAAATTCTTATAGACATCCCTAAACACATACCAAACATTTTTTTTTGGTATCAAAATTGAATTTTTAAGAAGCATGATTGACATTTGTTAAAGTAAAATTTATTTTTTAAAACGAACCTTATGAGAGATGTGTAATATTTTAAAATACCACAATGTGAGATGAAAGTATATATGCTAGTACGTGTAATTTTTTTTTATACGTGTGATTTTATTTTTTTATAAATATTCAAGTGAATTATAAAGATAAAGATGGTAAAATATATTAGGTTTCACATTCAATTATAAATGGGACATGCTAGTATTTTTACTTCATTAACACTTTAATTAATGTAGTCAAATTTATTAACTTTTGAGTCAATCCACAGGGCATGACGAGTGATCCACTAAATTAATAAAAAAAATATTTTGATTGAGAATAGTGGTTGAAGCTCTCATTGTCAACAAATATTAAGGAAAATTGTTATAATTTATAAAAAAAAAAAACATAAAGTCTCACTCACTCACTTACTGGAAGAACTATCCACTCTCAAACACAAACTTTCCCCTCATCTCCTTATAATTCACATTTCTTCGGTATCATTGACAAAATAAACATGAAGGCTTTACCAAATAAAAAAATACCATATAATTTTTATTTCAAGTATTTTAATTTTTCAACATAATAAGAAAAAAAGAAAGATCTCATAAATTTTGATATTATCTGTTGTAAAATTTATTTTGATTTTTCTGAAATTTCAATGCCTGAATATAATATACTAAAATATATTATTAACCTGATATATATAATTGTGGAATTATTGAAAACAAAATTATGATCTTATATTAAACTTATTAAAAAGACAAAAACAAATTATTTAAAAAAAATTGTGTGTCTATCAGTTTATTTTTGCAAACCAAATGCAAGATGGGCAAAACAGAGTAGATTAACCCATTTAATCGCTCTTACATAAAAATAATTAAGCGTATGAATGAAATATTACACATTTTTTTATAAGTTTTTTTAAATACGAATATTAGTCATTTCATATAATAAAACATAATTTGAATAAAAGTATATACATATATTTTTATGTAATATATATATAGGAGAGAGAGAAAGAGAGAGAAAAAGTCTCATATTTTTCTTTATGCGTAAACTACGATGAAACATACATTTGCAAATTAACTAAAACATACATCTAAGAAAAAAAAAAAAAAGACACAGTTGGAAGTTAAATTTTGGTAGGGTTGGATTTTGACCCGACATGACAGAAGAAAACAAATTAGAGAAATGACAATGGAAAAGGCAGAAATTGAAAAGATGAGGAGGATTTTTCACGTTACTGTACACACAGTCATGCTACTACACTACCTTTCCATTCTCACTTTCTGTGACTATATACTTTCATCAATTGTACTAGATAAATCACTTATAAATCCTCGTAGAAATCAATTTATAAATATAAATCTTTTAAAAAAATTTATAGTTTATTAAAAAAATCAGAATATCAGATAATTAAAATTAATTTATAAAAATTACAACAGTTTCTATATCTACCACAATTTTATCCTCATAATCTCTGGACTGCAATGTAAATTTTGTGTATATAATATATGTTGCTGCACGCCATGCATGTAACTTTAACCACGTACTTACTACATCATTGAGATGAGAATAGGATAACGTAAAGTGTATGTATATTCAGAAAGAAAAATTATAATAAATATACTAAATAATGTAATATATATATATTATTGAGATATGTCTTGTTATTATTTGAGTAATGTAATTGGCATTGGTTAACAAAATGGTTTAATAATAGAGAAATAAATACTGATAAAGAATAAAAATGAGGTGTGTAATTAAGTGGCAGCACCACACGTGCATGGTGAGCATGGTTGAAAGGAACAAGTGTGAGTACAGAATGGAGACATGGTAATAATGAAGTATGAACAGAACAAAACCCTGCGAACAAAAACTTGATTAACCGACATGTTTGATTGATGGGCTTGGGTTTGTGACATGGGGCACTCGTGTTGAATATGGATGTGACACACCTCATGCAACTAACCTCTTATCACACACACTTTCTACTGTCATATACATGCCATCGTCCATTGATGCCCTCACCTAACCTTAATTCACAGTCATTAATTCCCGGTTGATTAAACAAGATAGAAAAATAAATTAAGGGAAAAAGTGGTTTTAATAGGAAATTAATTGCATTATAATATTATTATCTTATTTCATTTTTTATTAGTAATGTTGTTTTTGTTATACATTAGTAATATTGTTTTTGTTATACAAAATTAGATATAGTAATCGATTGTATAATTTTTGTTATATTATAATTTTTTTTATTATATTTGATTATAGAATTTTGATTAAGAAAATAATTTTTTTTATGCTTTTATAAAAAAAAATTGTTATCTCATGCTTTTGTTAATTTTGTTATATATATATATATATATATATATTATCAAACTTTTTTTTCTTTTCTTAATTTAATTCTTTTTTTTCTATCATCTAAATCCACCATAATAAGAACATTAAAATATGACTTTAGTTAAAATATATATTATATGTTTAACTATTTTTTATAAATTTGTTACGGTTAATTCAGTAATAATAAAGTGTAAATATGATTTATTGAGTTTAATTTTTCAAGTTTATTAAAAAATTATATATTGATATAATAAATAGAGATAATAACATATTTTAATAAAATATTTTCTTTAATTATTATAAAATATTGTATTTATTAAAATTCTTAAGAAATGTTTTGTATTTAATTTAATCTCGTAAATTCAAATATATGTATTTTTACTTTTTACTAATTAGAAACTGATTTATCTTTCATTCACATTGAAAAATATTTATCTATATTTTCTTAGGAAAATAATATATCAATAATTGATTTTTTTAAAATATAATTAGTTAACAATATCATTTCAGTATATAATAATAATAATAATAATAATAATAATAATAATTATTATTATTATTATTAAAATAATATTATATTATTATTATATATTAAAATGGGGTCTCATCGTATGACTGTCTTATATGACCATCCCTTTTATCATTTACTTTTTTTTTCTTTTACTTTACTTTTCAATTGCTTTTGACTTTATTTCATATTTACAAGTTTTCCATTCACATTCCCCCACAAACATTACATTTCAAGTCATTACGTCTCTACAAACTTTTGCTTTCCAAGTCTTTTATAAGCTTTTTCTCAACTTCATGCACCATTTTACTTTTAATAAGTCTTAATTTTTTACAAATTAACAAAGTCAATTATATTCTTTTACTTAATTTTTACAAATCAAATTATACATCTTACAATTTTTTTTTGTCATTTAAGTCAAAATAAATAATAATTTATCTATATTTTTTCTCTTAATTCATCAATATATTTTAAAAAAATTTGGATAAATTAGAGTTTTAAGGTGACCAATGTTTAATATGATAATTAATCCTTATGATGACATAATAAACATGAAATCAGAATATATTCTAGATAAAATATTATCTCATAATATAAATGTTCCGGCATACATTTATATAAATCTCATATGATTATTTAAGATATAAGATTAGAATATTTTTATTTTTAAATAAAATATTGACAATAAAATTATATTTCAATATATACTTATAAGTCTCAGGTAGTATAAGATCATAATCAATAATAATTATATAACCATTCACTCTTAAATCATTTAAATATCTTATAAAAACAAAATTATATCATAAAACATAATTAAAAACCATTAACATAAAAAAAAACTGGAACAAAAAATGATGTTTTATAAAATAGAAAAAACGAAGTTATACTAGGATATGTGATTCATACCACATTTTTTATCAACAAAATATTAATTGTTGATATGTTAGTAGAAGAATTCAAAAGCACAACTTATTTGTTTATTTATTTTCCATGAAACTAATCTTACATCTCTAATTTGATAGAACATCGAAGATTAATTTAAGAAATGTCTAAATTGAATAGTCAAACTAGAAAAAAAAACGATGAAGATAAGATACAAGTATATTAAAATCTACCTCTGAAGATAAGAAAGTATTCCAATCAACACAGCAAAAGAGGAGAGGATTAAGTAATTACCTGAAGTAGTTTGAGTGAGGAAGATGATATGCATGCATGAATTGGACAGAGAAAAATGATTTAAAGGCGACGGAAAATTCCTAAGGGATGGCATGATCCAAGTCAGTGAACCAGTAAAAGGGATCCAAAACCAGAACTGCATGGGAATGCAAGAATTAGATCAATGCGATCCCTTTGGAATTCTCCACCAACAATAAGGTTGGTTGTGGTTGATCCAAGAGGTTCACCACATAAAATCTGCAGCAGAACACAGCTTCAATTTCTATATATGGTGCTCCAAATCGAAACTATGGGCTCCTTTATGGTTTGTAAGGGTAAATGGAAAGTTAGAATAGTGGTGGGGCTTTTCATAGTTTGTTTACGCACCTCAAATCAAGGTGCCAAACAAAATGCTTGAAATAATGAAATTACTCAAGCACCTCTAATAATTACTTTGTGTATATAAACCACAAGCATATACACATATATTTAATTCTGAGGGTAAAGTTAAGAGAAGTGAGGACAAAATGACTGAGCTTCCAACGCGTGTATGGTGGTGTTGAGTAAATATTCTATTAGGTTTTGGATGAAACATAGAAGACATAAAGCAAAAGCAGATAATGAAGGAAATTCTGACTGTAGGAGCAATATGTGTCATTATAAAAAAAGACTATGCTTAGCTTCTTGCCAGCAGCATTAGCTGTTTGATAGGAACCTTCACCTTCCTTAAAAGCCAAATAATCTTCCATTATATTGTCGGTTCTGTAATTATTAACACAATTCACTGCTCAAAAAATGGACTCAATGTTTGTGAATAAATTCTTATAAACTGTTTTGGCCATGTATATTTTCTTTTTTGAGAAGTCAGACTGATGATCATCATGGTCATGGACATGAAAAAGAGGTTTGTATTCCCCAAAACCATAAGAGTTGAAAAACAATAAATTATTAAATGAGTGGGAATGGAGGACATGAGAAACAAGGGCATTTATTTATCATCATTATTAATAAGGGGAAAAGAGTGAAAGGGTACCTTCTATTTCTCTTTTTTCATTTTACACATTCTAAAAATAACAACTTTTGATAGCATATGCAAAAAACTTGAGAATTGCTTTTGGTCAAAGCATAATCACTTAAGTTGAAACCCCAAACTCCTCCTTTAAGGTAACAAAACAGAGTGTACATCTTTTTACAAATGGTGGATACTAGAGTTAGTTACCATGATGGGGCATTGGATGATTAGCATTGAAACAACATTAGACTTATTAGTTATTAGTGTTAGTATTGTCTCAAAAGAAAGAACTGCATCACATAGCATCAAACCTTTTGAAAGTACTTAGGACATATGGTCAGAACCAGGAATCCTAGGCATCAGGAAACTAAAGTAATAGCTTCATATACTATTACTGAAGATTTAGCTGATGGACAGTGAAACACAGTACATTTAAAACTTCCATCTTAAAATGATCTCGAAGCAAACATGGTTGTCCCTATCCTAATATTAAAGGAATTTTAGACTACTTGCACAATAAACATCTCTGACTTTGTTTCATTCTTACTGATCCACAAATTGCACAGAGGTTAGGTAAAATCTCAGTGATTTAATATTTGAATTTCTAAATTAGAAGTGGTGAACTGAAACAGTGAGCTAAAAAACGGAAAAGACTGAGAATTTATCCAAAATCAATTATCATGGTCATTTCACCATTAGTCATTTTATTTATGTTGAGAAAGACTGATTAGAACAATACCTATATTATAGAAAACTGAATAAGACAAATTAAAAGCTTGAGAGTGTAAATTACAAAAATAATGAACTTAAGGGTATGTCAATGTCCTCTTTCCTAAAAATTAAAATGACCCTTCCTCAGGTCTATTTTTCTTTCAAGACAGGTCCAGCACCAACTCAACACTGACTTTTGGCCATGACCCACTTAACCTACCCTTGGCGCAATTCCAGAGATTTCCCCTACAACCCATCTTTAAAGTCTCCCTCTACAAAAGTTGGCTGTCTGCTACTCATTAGACACTACTAATTGGCTCCCAACAACATCTTTGAATCCCTCATTGTTTGCTGTCTTTGAAATATGGAGATAGAAAGAAATTATCAACCATCACTTTGAAAACTCTATGGAGTAACTTAATGTTTCCTTCTACGTACTTTCAGAGAAGAATTACTTAGGCACATATTCGGAAATCAGTATAACAAGCATAGCCTTTGCCACAATTGGGTTATACTAGAAATGAAAATCTCACCCTTGGCCAAATCTAAATTGGTCTTATTTCATGGTGATCCCCCCTGGCTTCTGGACTGGTTACATCAACATCATAAGAAAGAAGAGTTTGGAAAGAATGAAGGTAAAATTTTTGCAGCTCTCTACCAAAGCATAGACACTGTTAAAAAAAAAAACAAGGCTTTATGACAAAATGACTTGTGTGTTTTACCCTACGGATAAACCAACTAACTATATTTGATTTAATTGAAAATTTCGAAATAAATTATTAAAGTATTTATATTAAAATAATTAATTAAATAAAAAATATATTTTTAAATTTTAAATTATTTAATATGTAGATATTAAAAATTTATTTTTATATTTATTTTTAAAATAAGTAAAATTTTTATCGATATAATTTATAACTTTTATATTTTTAAAATAATATTATTTTTATTTAAAAAATTATTATTATTTTATAAAATAAATCAGTTCACAAAACATAAACTTATATAAGTCATTATTATTAAATAAAGATAAATTAGATCTGATTTTATTTTACCTAATTTATTAAAATGGATGTCTCAAATTAAATCAATTTTAAAGACTCAATATTTAGGCGTTGAAGTATGTAAATATATAAGCTGATTATTTAAAAAATTATTTACACAGCTGATTATTTGAAATTTTTTTTACATGTCATAAATTCCTAATCTCATAAAATAATAAAATATCTATTATTATCGTCATTTTTATCTCCTAAACTAATAATAAGATAAGAGTATTAATATAAGCTAGATGTTAGTTACACATTCACAAATTAATTATGTCTCACACTAAATCCGGTAATTTTCTGCAGATCAAATATAAATACGGTTTATTCTCATTGCTTTTAACTTCTATAAAAATAAAATATAAAATATAAAATCTCTTTTACTCTTAATAAAAATACTATCTAATTAAGTATTAATTAAATTAATTAACATAATTGTTACAAAATATTTGTCATATGTTGAAAAAACAAATATTTTTAAATGCGATCGGTAGAAACTTTTTTTTTTAGAACAGATACATCCGATTCAATAAATCCCCCAAATGTTTGCATTTTTTAATTCTTATTTATCTACTTTACAAGTTTTAAAATAAAATACAAAATATACTAAATAATATAAAGTTAATTTTAATTTATATCTTTATCTTTTAAAATAGTTGTATATAGATATATATTTTAAGATTCAAATATTGTTAAATGTAACTCTCATAATACCTAGTTAGTACGAACAAACTTCCGGAAAATTCCAAAACTAAAATGAAACCCGATTGAAGAATCGAACCCGTGATAAAAATAATCTGACTCAAAGAATTTAGCCACAGAGCTGTAAAGAGTTCACTATTTACTTAGCCATTAAAATAGTTATAAAATTATAGAATAGAAGTAAACCCTGAAAATCCCTAAACCCCTTCTTCCCGCGCCTTTCTCCTCCGCATTTGTTTTCTCAAATTCTTTGCTTCTTCGTCGTTTTCTCTCTCGAGAATGGTTACACAGCACGGCATCAAACTCGCCGTCCACCTCATCACCAATCACTTCGGCAATCTCGTCGGGGTAATTCTCTCGCTTTCTCGTCTCTCTGATTTATTTTGCAGTGGTATTGATATTGAAATTTTGTGTGTGCAGAAAGTATGCGAAAACCTATTTAGCCATGGATCCCTCACTTTGGATCAATTGATTCGCTTCACAGAGCTTACTAAGGACCAGGTCAAGAACTCCCTACTCGTCTTAGTTCAACACAATTGTTGCCAAGCATTTGTTTCTGCTCCTGAAGATGACGGTAACATAACACTATTATTTTGTCTCATCCCTTAGTTTCATTTTTTTTTTCTTTTCAATTAGCAATAAACATGTTCGAGTTAAATAAATTTTAAAAAAAGGGCTTCCTAGCAGTAGCGGTTTTGGCATTTTAATATATTAATTTAATGATTGTAATGTAATACTGCTCCGATAGGGTGTTAATGGATGATGATGATGTTCTGAATTATTATGAATGCAGATGATGATGCAGACAGATTGAGAGTTAGAACTCAGTACCTGGTGCTGTTTGATAACATAATCCACCGATTGAGATTTCCCAAATTCTTGGAGACTGTAACGCGGACGCTTGATGAAGAAGTCGGTTTGATCCTTATTGGTTTCTTTGATGCTTTTCGTTTTGTGGCGTAAAATGCTGAGAGTATTTTCCACATGTCATGTAGTGTGTGGAGCTTCTTGATGGATTGCTTCGTGATGGTAGGCTTACCCTGAAACAGATGGTTGACAGAGCAAGTCAAGGGAAAGGCAAGTGTTTTATGATGCCTGTCATAGGTTGACTGGTGTTTTGCTTATATTAATTGATTTAGTTATAAAAAAAGGTATATTTACTCAAATTGGCAAATATTACTTTTAAGAGTTGTGTAACCTAATGACTAAATCATATGTGGTTTAATCATAATTCCTTTTATGTGAATCGGATGAGGGAACTGTAGATAAGTTTTAAAACTATTAAAAGAGTAAGTATGTTTTGGAGTGGATACATGTACTAGGAGTGTGGTTTGCTTTGGGTTAGTTATAAGAATGGTACATCCTACACAACTAAATTTGTGGTACATAAAGAGAGGGTTTAGTTGGTTTGCAATTGGAGGTAATGATACAGATACAGTAGTATACTAGTCTTTCTGAATTACGATTAAATGGAGCTATATTACTGGGCCTGTAGTTGAACAGCATATTCAATTTAATCAAACATATAATTGACTCTCAATAGTATGTTGAAATTACTGTATTTAATACATGGTTGAGCTTACCTGGATCTCACAAAATCATGAATCCTTTCAAATTATTTTATCTCAAATGATATACTTGCAGAAAATGCCGTGGAAACAAAAGTTGTACGAGAGATACTTTGTAAGCTTTTAACAGCTAGACTTGTTGAACGCTGCCCTGCCCCTGAGCCAGTTGTTTCTACTTCATTTAAAGAAACTACTACTAGGAAGCGGGGTGCTAAGTCTGCCAAGGTAATTAATTGTTCACTCAGGTCAATTTCTTTTTGATGTTGGGTTATCTTTGATTAATGTTTTGGGGTAAGAGGCATTGTCTATTGGGTGTAAAGCACATGAGTTCTAATGGGGTGTCACTAACAGCTATGTTGATGAATTGTGATGCTTTGTTCCATTGAATACCTATGCTTTTCTCTTTTGTTCAGAAGGATTCCTTACCCTCCACTTTTGTAATTTTTTCATTTAATCATTTTTATATTTCTCCATCAGTATTATTATTATTATTATTATTTAAATTGAGCTTACCTTAGTATTTTGCTTATTTTTCTTTTGACTTAAGAGCAAGGCATTGTTCTTTCTAAGTATTCAAGTTTGAGATCAATTTGATGGTAACATCAATTAAAAAGGAAATTAAGTTAAGATAGTGTCTGTAGTGAGATCAATTTACAAATTAATTGTTGATTTTTGTGTACACTGATGATCCTTCATTTATTGCTTCCTGTTTAGGATGTTTACAGTCAAATAAGAGCTATAAAGTGGACAATCCATGAATATTTGATGTTATCATTTTTATTGAAGTTGCAATAGTGAAGTGTTCACTCTTGTAAGCTGGATAAAAGAGTTTTCTTAAAAAACTTTATTTTTTTTATAATATATGCCTTTTAGATATTTGAAGCACCAGAGACATTAGAACAACGCGTTTTAGAAGCAGCAGTGCCTGGGGATGCAATCAGATATTCATTCACTGCAGATATGGGATCTAATGCTGACCGAGAAACAAATTCAGATGATGAACAAATGATTAGTGTTGAAGAGAATACAGGTAAGATTATTGTCATGTGATCAGTTCAACTCGGTAGTTTACAGTTAACAAAATTTGTCATGCAAGTATAATTTTTTTAACTTGGTATACAAAATTTGGTGCAGCAAAAGAGGAGGAAATTCTTTGGCGTGCAAATTTTGAGGAGTTTGTTCGTCATCTTAGGCATAAGGTAGATTTTACAATAAATTTCTTACCTGAACATTGTGCGACACTACCCAGACTGCATTTTTTTTAGTTTTTTTTTTTTTTTTTTTTTTTGGTACATTTCTTTAATTTAACTTACTGAGAAAGGATATTGAGATTCAGAGTTGTAAAAGCATACTAGATGGCCAGTGATAATCAAATGTTTTGAATTAAGATCACAATTATTTTATTGGCAGTGAAGCTTTTTTTTATTTTTTGTTATTGAAGTGATGGAAGTTAAATTTGAAATCCCCTTGTCTTTCAAAGGACAACAATTTTGTCTAAAATTAGTCAAAAGAATACTAGTAAAAATAAATATTAATTTAGATAAACACAGCATTTGTCTTGGTCAAATTTAAGTTGACAATAATTTTGAAGCTATGATCGATGTCCATCTTTGACTTCAGCTATCATCCATCTGTATCACATTCTACCTTTCATACTTTTGAATTTTTGGAATCAGCTAAACTGAGAAAGTCATGGTGTTGAGTGGGGGTTATATTTATATGATTGAATCATTATGTATTGCTTCCTGTAAAACAGCTTGGCATTTACTTGTTTTTCCTTGTTGATGCTACCATATTTTCTGTTACTTGTGTGATAAATGTGGCAACAGGGATTTTGTACTATTGTTTCTGTGCTCTTCGGGTTTCCTTTTGAATTGGTTTAGGTAAATATTGTAAAGGTTTCATGAATATCACATTTATAAGTTATGTGTTTAATTGACTGAGCTGATTTTTTTGGTCTTTTGTCTGGATATTGTTATCAGAAGCTTACACTTAGATATTCTATGCATATTCTAGGCATTGATTGAGAATATAAGAACTCAGCATGATGATGGAACTGCTACTGTCTTAAGTGCAGTATTGGAGGCAACAAAAACTGTAGAGAAAAAAGTGAAACTGGAGAATTCAGGTGAACCAGATTCCTTACTTTATGCATTTTTTGAAACTGTTAGAAATTTTAGAATGAGGATTATAATTTTTTCTTAAGATGATATACACATGGGTTAATAATAATGCACCCATGATCTTAACAAAAAAAGGAAAGAAACTAGTAAAAAATACTAGCAAATAGTGTATTTCTTCGGATACAATATGTTAAAATATTTCTTAAAAGAGAAATGCCTACAAACAACACAGTATCTAACACATTCTCTTAAACACACTTTCTACTATTGATTAAAATATACTAAAATTTTAAAATTTGGTAGGTTCTGCTGCTCAATTTATGTCCATGACCACTGTTATGTCACGGTTCTCTCTTGACTTATACTATATTATCCTATGTTTCAGTTCCCTTGTCACTGGATACAATTACCGCAGAGGTGATGAAGACTGATACAGGACGAACGATGACCATGGATCGTATTAGAGCTTCCCTTAGCCAGTTGGGCTGTTCACAGAGGATGATTGTAGATGATGCATATAGTATTGGTAAAGTTGATATTTTCTTCATGGGAGACTATTTCTTATATATAAAACATCTATCGTTTTATTTTCTTATATGTTCATATCGATGAACTCCTGCATAGTCCTGGTTTATGATTCCTTTAATAGTTTGTAATTCAGTACTCTTACCTTTCCAGATTTGAAGAAAATAATTGAACGTGCTCGAAATGAAGAGGTTTTAAAATCCTTATATGATTTAGTAATTACATTATATATATATATATATATATATTGTTCATGTAGAACTGTCTAATTTTGTGTTCTGTTGCAGGTTGAGTCAATTGTGTTGAAAAGGTATGGAAGGGATGCCTACAGAATGTTCAGGCTACTGTCAAAGGATATTGGTTTTCATGACACAGATCAGGTGATTTACTAATGAAGTTAAAAATTAATTTTGCTAGTAAATGGAGTGGATTCTGTCAGTCTTCTTTCTTGATGTTGACGGTTTGAGATTTTAGTCTTGATGCTCAAGATTATTGTTCACTGAAGTAACACCATTGTGGGTTTTGAAGTTTGAACTATTACAGTAAATGGCATTTAGGGGTCTTTGAAATATTATGAATGTTCTCACAACAATCTCTAAATGTTTTTTTATCTTCATTTGTGTTATTTAAAAATTATATTAGTGTGCCCGTACCTTTAGTCTTTAAAACTTGCTGTATTCTATTCTCATATTTGTACTGTATACTAGTACTGTACCCGTATTAACGCAACATGGGTGGAGGATCAAACCTCCTACGTCAACATTATTGGACCTAGACATGGACCAGTTCTATTTGATGTACAACTTCCCGTGTGATACCTTATGAGGGGAAAAAAGACATCCAAATAACCAATTATCTCAGATGCAAAGGCTATTAGATTAGTATGTCTATGGAAATCCAGTGAAGGAGATTGGCTGAACTGATATTTTCTGTCATTGATTATATAATCCTCCATATTTTCAAATCTAAGAATAAAGAAATTCAATGGACTCAAATTCTATGTTGTGACCTTCAAGTGCTTCTCTTTAATTTGTAGATAGCAGCATCGACTCTGGTTGAGAAGAAGGAAGCTCCAAAGTTGCTATATAAGTTATGGAAGGACAATTACTTGTATATGGAGGTGACCTATCTTTTGAATATTTATATACATTTTAGAAATTAGTGTATATTTGTTTCTTGATATTTAATCTTTCCACATGTTAATTGTCCTTACAGAAAGTAGTTGCAACCGGTGTCAAGCAAATAACTATTTTGATGTGGAAAGTCAATAAACCTCTGCTTTTGGAACATGTACTGGACGAGATGTACCACGCTGCCTTAAATTTGAGCCTAAGAATGGCTTTTGAGCAGGAAAAGGATGAAGAGGTTAGTAACTCTAAAATTGTTTATTAATTGATTGACCTCCGTTAGATAAAAATATGTTTATGATATTAGCTTATAACATATGTGCTAGTTTATTGCGCACACCCTGTTGTGACACGAGCGGGGATGGAAGGATGTGGTTGTTGTAGTTTCCCATCCTCCATAAAGTTTACGATCATCGTATTTTTGTTGGTCATCAATGTTTCACCAAAATTATTGAAAGAAAAATAATAATAGCTGAGTTAATAAAATGTTATATTCAAATAATGATAGTGTTTCTATTATCTGGAAAAAAGAGAATACATGAAGGATGTGTGATATCGCTGTGAAAATTAAAATATATATTCGATTATAGTTGGAATTGGTTTTTGTTGAGGTTAAGTTGCGAAAAAGTGATTTTAAGATAATTAACAACAATTTTTATTTTTTTTACATAGTAAATTATATAAAACTCAAAGAGAAAAAAAATGGTGAAAATTTTAGGGGTAGTTTGGAGATAACATATTTGAGAATAAAAGCATTAGCAAATAAGTTACGGGGAATAAAATCAGTTTTTTTTTTTTTTTCTTTTCATTTTGTAAATTTAAACAAATGTCTCCACACACCAGTAATAATTCTCAAACAGCATATTTCTCAACAAAACTAGCTAAAAAAAATCAATAATTTAAGTTATTCGAAACAGATTCTAAGCCTGTTGAAGGTAAGTCTGTCAAGTTTCTGATATGGAAAACAGCCATATGGATTTGTCGTCTATTTTAGAGTAAACATACATATGTTACAACATAACTATGAATTATGCCTTTCCAATACTTTTACATGCAAATGACTATAAGGTTTGCACTATGCATTGTTATTGCCCATTATCAAATATTCCAGTCTGAAGAAATACACATGCGAAGCTATCAACTATTAGAAAAGGAAAGTTTATCAGAAAGTAGTCCCAGGTGCTATAATACTATTATCTGAGCTGTTGCCAATTGCCATGGACTTCTTGGCATAATGACGGTTGTCAGCTGATAATATTGAGTTCCCCCATTCTTGGAAACAAAATGTTTAATGTGGTTGGTATTTGGTGGTAATTGCATGGTGTATAACAAACAGCGCTTTGCATTATTACTACATTACATGCGTTAAGTTTAATTATCTGTCGCTTGCTGCTTGTTTCAGCTTTTAAATGTTCCTAAAGACAAGCTTAAGGAGCCCGGGCCACTGCAGAAGAAATACAAACGGCTACTAAATGTCTGGTTACTCCTGGGATCATCATTGATGAAGCTCGATGAAGCTCTCATGCTTTTCCATGACTTCTGAATATAAATTTTGGGACAATTATTATGATTATTTTATTAAACGAATGACAATTTTGATGGTTTAAGACTGTTCCTGACAACACTAACTTAACTTTCATTGCTATTAACAACCGGTAGGTACTTGTATATAAGAAACAAGGAAATCATACGAATGAAAGGTATTTTTTTTAAAGCAGCACTATGAATGATAATTTTAAAACCAAACAACTAATTTGGCAATAAAAAAGCGTTCACATTTTGTTTAATAAAAATAGTACACGTGTATAGTAATGGCCTTCCAGCTAATTCCATGGATATGATATCCAATTCATTCTTCATACATGTCTTTTCTTAATGTGTGGGAATGATAAAACAGCGCTTTAAATATAAAAAAAGATCGCGGAAACAAAAATTAGTTTCAATTCTCAATTTTACTATAATCCGCGTATGTTGCTTTTGTTTCTTTGTAGATGTTTAGGAGACAAGATTAGGAGGTGAAGTTTTACATTTGTGCAAGGTTGATTTGATCGAAATGTTATATTGTCCTCATTGTTTTTGTATCATACATGATGCTCAAGATTGCTACGACGAAAGGTTTAAACTTCCTGTTAGACGGTCATAAGACCAGATGATGAATCTTTATACGTTTTTTTATGCATTGTGATAAATTTCTTTTTAGTAATATTTTTCATAAACACTTTCACAGTAAAAGATATAATAAATTTTGTATAAGTTAAAATTAATAAATGGAAAACTAATTTATAAAATTATTAATATTGGTTTCTTCGAAAGATGAGATAATTTTTAATTTACGCATAAATTGATTTTCATTTATGTTTTTTCTTTATTATTTTAAAAGTGTTCATAGAGGAGTGTATAGATACTATATGTCTTTAGTTAGAGGAGCTCTTACTTTATAATAACTGTATGCTTAGATAAATACATTTACACATAACATTCTTATTCATTATATTATTTTACTTAATATACATTAAAATCATAGGATTGAATTATGTTTTCCTCAACTTGTTAACGTAAACTTCATATAATTGTAATTTTCTTAATTAGACAAGCAATTAATTTAGCATTTGATCCAAAATGGGTATGAAGTAATTGTCGTGATATTTGGATTTCATTATAGCCAATTATTGAGCTATGTTACGTAGACGAAAAAGTTAGCAGGAAAATGTAACGAATTGTAAGTGAACAATAGCAGGAAAACAAACTTCTTCATACAGGAACTCCTTTGGGAACAAATTAACTTTGCTATTTTTATCAACACGTTTTAAACGGTTCAAACATACAAATCAAGTATAGAAGTATTAAAATTTTATCTACATCTCAATTTTATTTCCCATTCAAAACTGTCTGGGGTAAGAACCAACCATATTTCTTTTTATAATTAGCATATAGAAGTATAAATTAATTTCTTCTGCTGTGCGTCACCGTAGAGGATTCATTCCCAGAGATAGATAAATAGATACAAAGACTTTCTACTATTGTGATTATCTTTTTCTACTATATTAAGTTGAGTTTTAAATTATATGTATTATATATAGAAAGATTACATACAAAAAAAAATATAGATTTAAACATTTTTTATTAAATAATGCTCAATAGATTATCTTTTAGATTAGGTACCTAATAAATTATAAAATTTTGATTTAAATTTTTAAGACAATTATTTATTTATATTTCATCTTTAAAATAACATATTAATTTTTCAAGAAGTCCCTAAAATATTTTTAATTTTTTAATCTCTCAACTTATTTTTTTAATCATAATAAAGGATATTTTTTTTGTATTATGTGATTATATTGGTAGTATAGGTAATAAAGTATGCTTAACGAATATTATTCTTTATTACTCAAAATTGCATGACACGTGTTTTAACATATATGTGACAGTAAAACTAAAGTAGGAAACTTAAAATAGTTAATTTATTATATATTTATTAAATATTCAAAACAAAACTTGATTATATACTAGAGATTTAAAATTTATTTAAATTAAAATATAACGAAAGAGAAAATATTGAAGGTAATTTGGTAAAAAAAGGAAAAAAAATATGCAATATTTATATATATATATATATTTTTATTTTTTTTTCTTTTGAGGAGTAATATGTAAAGTAATTAGAATGATCCATTTGTTAAAATAAAAAAGATGCGAAGGTTGAGATGATGCACGTTTATAATGTTTTGAATAGGTACTCATTATAATTCCCTGTTAAAAACGTTTCTAGCTACGTCGGCGGGAACATGTGCGCCACCAATAAAGGAGATAATTTTATTTCAGTTAAATTAAATTATTATGAACTAAATTTTCTCTTTAAACTATCTATTAAGAACTTCAACTTAGAGCAATTGATTACACTCAAATAATCTAAAATTTTAATAATAATATTTAACATGCTACAATATTTAAGTTGCAGGCATTAATTTATAATAATAATAATAATTAACATTATGCCAATAATGCTCTTTATTATATTTTACTTTTATATATTGCTCTATATATGATTCAGTGGGTCCATATTATGATTGAACCTTATTGTGTGACTGTTTTAAATTTTAAATTTCAATAAAACATAATAAATGATAACAAGTATTTAAATAAAATGTTTTTTTTTAGGAAACAAAGGTAGGCTTACTCCAAATTTGAGATTCTTAAAGATATTAAGACTACAAGATTGTAATTATTAATTTAAACATCAAATAGTATACTTTAATAACTTTATAGGTGTTTTTTTTAATTAATCACTTCATATTTAATTACACCTATCCTTGTTATTATTAAACCTTTTTCATTTCATCTAATAACTAAGTTTTTTAAATAATTCCGTAGAGTGTGATAGCAATATATGAAAATTTAATTCAATAATTAAATATATAATGTTATTTCAAAGTTAGATGTTCATCAATTTATTTCAACTCACTCACCTTTATTTTTTTTATATTATTTTTTCTATGAAAGTTTAAATTGTCCAAAATAATTCTACTTATCACAAGTTTAAATTGTCCAAAATAATTCTACTTATCACTAATGATGAAAAATAAAATATTAAAACAATTTCCTTGAAGTCAATTGTTGTAATTTATTGAAAACTTAAATTGAAATAATTTTATTAATTAAAATTAGAAATGATAATATAAATATATATATATATATATATATATATATATATATTAAAATTTAAAATAAATTATTGACAAATTAAAACTTGTTTTAAAATAAATATATTAGAAGGTGGCATTATTTTTCTACCTCGTAGTAGCGAAAAAAGGAAAAAGAAAGAAAGTGTGATGATGCCCTTACTGTATATAATTAACTAATAATGGACACTGCGGATTCTCAAAGCATGTACTACGTTTGGCTTCTTTCTAAGCCAAACACGGTGGCGGTGAAGACGTGATTTTTGTTTTTTGTTTTTCTCATATCGCGTTGACTACAAATAAACATGGACCACAAGGTTTTTATTTATTTTTTGGCTGACGTTTTTCTGTTTCTTCCTCAGCCGCGATTTTTCACTTCTAACATAAATAAGCTGTGTGGACAAATCGAAGCATAAACCGACCAAAACCTTTGAAACACAAAGAGAAGTTGGACCCAAAAAGGCACAATATTCAAACATCACGTGAGGGTCAAAAAGGTTAACCGCTGAAAGAAAATAATACAAATTGTCATCGTAGTCAAAAGCCACGCATTCTTCTATTCAAAGCCTTCTTATATAAATTCCAACATATATTACTATCGTCTCCTCCATAACACAACCATAATCTTAGAAGCATAAGCATTAGATACATACAGAGAGAGAGAGAGAGAGAGAGAGAGAGAGAGAGAGAGAGAGAGATGGAGTTTGTAGGGCTATGTGTAGTTCTTGTTGCCTTCTTGGTGGCACTTTGCCTCCTCTTGTTCTTGATACTAATATTTTCTTGGTGGGTTTTCCCTAACCAAAAACTTAAAATGCTTAAGAAATATGGGTTGGGAGGACCAACCCCAAGTTTTCCTCTTGGAAACATTGAAGAGATGAAAAGAAAGAGTAGCATTCAATCTTCGGTTGTTTCCTCAAATCTCGCACACGATATACACTCTTATGTTTTCCCTTACTTTTCTAGCTGGCAGAAATCACATGGTAAGTCTCCTATGTCATGTATATTTCTGTCCATATTATTGAACAAAACATAATAACTCATCGGTCATGGAAGATGTATATGGAGGTCTTGTTAAGTATGCATTTTACTTTTGTTTGTGTAGGTAAGGTGTTCGTGTACTGGTTGGGCACGGAGCCATTTTTGTACATTGCAGAGCCTGAGTTTTTGAAGAAAATGTCGACAGTGGTGATGGCCAAGAAATGGGGAAAACCAAGTGTTTTTAGAAATGACCGAGACCCTATGTTTGGGAGTGGTTTGGTTATGGTTGAGGGCAATGATTGGGTTCGTCACAGGCACATTGTTGCTCCCGCATTCAATCCCATTAACTTGAAGGTATCTCGATCTATTAAGTTGCATTGCATTTGTACCTCATAATCATAAGGAATCTGAACCATGAAATGGATCCATATTGCCTGCATTCATTTTGCTTACACTGAGAAATTTGTAAATCAACCTTAAAACATACGTTTAAAGTCTAAGTTGTTCGATCATCATCCAATCATTACAAATGTGGTGAACGTATGAAAATCAACTACGTTGAATCCGGTTCACCTTGAAATTTAATTGGAATGGCTTTGATGATTCTGTTGTTCTTTTGATGTCAAGAGTTAATGGCCATAAACATACATTCTGATTAGTTTTTCATTATCTTGTGATATGTGACATATAGGCAATGGCAAACATGATGGTTGAATCCACGAATCAAATGATAGACAGATGGGTTACCCAAATAACCTCCTTCAACCCTGAAATCGACGTGGAGAGAGAGATTATAGCAACAGCTGGAGAGATCATAGCAAGAACAAGTTTTGGCATGAAAGACGACAATGCAAGAGATGTTTTCGACAAATTACGAGCCTTGCAAATG